TTTGGAGATGTGCTTTGTACACAGCCAACGTCTGTGTTGCCATAATACTGATGCATTACCAAAACACAGACTTCTCCAAACTTGATTAATGAATAATAAGTTAAATAACTTTGTTGATCTCAGCATCAGGTTTAGAAGCAAGCCCCAGAAACTGGCCTCTCAGATTCCCTGGCAGCCCGACTAAAGACTAATCAATACATTTTAACCTGATTAAGACCATAGCAGGCCTTCACTGAGCAGAGCAGGGAGGGACTGAAAGTACAGTATTGAGATGTGCAATGCGGTGGCATCTCCTCAGCGTAAAACAGCCATGTGCCAAACGGAAAAGTAGCTTCAGATCCATATAACATGACCGACCAAGTCTCTCCATGATATTGTGAAATCTCTTCAAAACCCATACTTGTCATATCTATTTTTCATTACCCTTCAAGTTAGTGGAGACTGTAGGGGGATGATCTCTTGAAATATTCATTACAAAAGCACCCAAGACATGCTGTGACTCTCTTTCAACACTCAACCCCATTTTCTGAGCAAAATGTAGCCATATAGCCACAACACAACTGGTTAGCTCTGTACTTGTGGTGGAAAATAAATTGTGAGAAATCATTTTTATTAAACATTTTTCCATTTCAAATGGCACAAGCTGAGCCTAAGAAAGCAATGAAGTGGAACTATATTTGCGATACAGCTTAGCGAGGCAGAGATCAGGCTTGCCTTTAATACAGTGTATAGTCAATGATTCCAGTCATGGTCTTTTGAACACTGCAGCGTTGCCTTTCCTGCTTCCTAAACAAAATCCTAATGTTTAATGGTCACCGATGATCTAATCATTTCAACCGGTTGAACCCTAGCAACTAAGCCTGAATAAAATTACTCAACAATTCCCTCCTGTGCTTGTGCACACTGTGATCACTGCACATGCCTGTTGTGATGTAGTGGAGCTGGAGAGGATAATGGTTGCAACTAGTGCTGGATCAAAATCAGCCAGCACAAATAAAACACATTCTGTCATTTTACTTCTTATCCTACTTTGCATTTGTCTTCCAACATGAGAGATTTCACTAAAGTACTCATATTCAAAAACAGAAATAGGCTTAATACCGCAACCTAAGTGCAGAACTGCCTTTGTAAGTCAACATAAGATGTCAACTGGGCAAGCTACATTGCCCCTATTCCGTGTTCATGGGTAGGTCGACTCGATTATGATCTTTATTGCATTCTTATGGTAGACTGCAAAGGTGGAATGTCAGACCTGTAAACACAGAAAACACTGAGAACCAGCCCATATGCCATGAACACTAAAAGCACACGATGAACACCCCCAAATATGAGATTACAAAACATAGGCGACATCAAGTAGTATTATGCAATGCTGAAAAAAATAGAAGCCTTAGGAAAACCATGCTTGGTGATGCATGCAAAATGAGGGAAATTCGCCCTTGGGTTGAATGCAACGGTTGTGCAATATCTGCATGCATACTGTAAAAGCTGTGCACTGTATATATGAATCGAAATGACCATGCATCTGTCACACTGCTGGGTGTATTCGTAGCTAAGGAAGAGAGTGTATACAGACAAGCGGCTATATCATGCCTCACAGGCGGAATGTGACACATTTCTAGCTAAATTCTTGCTCTGGTTCACAAACTGGAGTTACCCTCACTTCCTAGTTTACTGCTGCTGTCATAGCTCGGCTAACACCCTTCTTCCTCCATAGCCAGCAAACAATTTTCGACTACATTTGCTGCTGCTGCTGCTGCTGCTGCTACTGCTGCTGCTGCTGCTGCTGTTGTGGCTTGCTGCTACGACCGTGAATTCTTCAAGTCTGCTTCTGCTGGTGAGAGCTGTGGTAGCGTCTCATTTTAGTGTGCCATGAAAAATTACACTTACATTTCACCACCCTGTCCGTCGTAGATAACTTCGGTTCATCATTCGGCTTGTTTTCGGACATTTCCAGTGTGATATAATATTGAGATATAGCAGAAATGAGACTGAAAACGCTCCCTGCGTTGCTCTTGCCGAACAACTCTTGAGTCTATCCGAGAAAATAGACCGCAGTGATCTCACTCGGTCCTATCAGCGGCCAAAAATACTTGCAACAGGGTTACAATTTCACTGCTGGTGCTGTATGAGCTGCTCTGTCTGATTTACTGTTACTCTGTATCAAGTTGTGTGAGCGCAGTGTGCAGTCAAACATGCTAACCCTAAGAACCCGCCCCCCAAATCACACCTATTGGTTGAGAGCGGCAGGCTGCCACTCTGACTGTACATTCCCCTTTATCAAAGGACTGTTCTTGTGTCAGTTAGGCCTGGTGTGAATAATTGTATGAATTACTTATAATAAACTAATAATACATCTGTAGCTGGGTATTCACACCTAAAAAAATAATTAACAGATATAAAAAAAAATACACACAGAATATATGATATATATATAATATATATATATTTATACTATATATATATATATATTGAATCTAGCACAAAAATGATCGCTGCACACAATTAGCTTTGACTGAAAATATATTTGGACCAAGGAATAACACTCCACACTGAGAGTGTATAGCCTATTATCGGCCAAAAAATGTATTATAACAATAATATAAAGATTAAAAAAAAAAAAAAAAAGATTTAATTAAACAAAAGATAAATATGTTAATGGAAAGTCTTAATCTAATTTCTTTATTTATATGGGCAGTGCACCCTAATCAGCATTTCTGTAAATGTGCCAGTATGAGCTAGCTGGCTAATTTTCAACTGCATTCCTTTGGCAAGATGTTCTAAAACCAATTAAAGTGAACAGTCTTCCTTACTATGAGATAAACGGTTAAAATGATTAGATAGTAAGACAACAATTATGAGATAAAATCTCAATATTTTCAATAGAAGGCTACGAAGTAAATTTTGAGTTGGAAAATCAAAATTATAAGAGTAAATCAAAATTACTAGAAAAAAGTAAGAATTATTAATATATCAAAAGTATGATCAAAATTGGAAAAGTCCAAATTATGAGATATCAAGTCATAATTATGAGATAAAAAGTAAAAGTTATGAGATCAAACTAAATTACAACATAAGATGTCATAAATCTGACTAATCATGAGCATTGTTATTTTATCATAACTAACCTCTTTCTTTATTTGACCTGCAGAAATTAATTTCCATATGTCAGGGCCAAACTAATGTGATCTGCATTATTTTTAATTCCCCTCACTTTATAGTGAACAGCAGTAACAGTGAAAATATATATCTCCAATTCTAACTAAAGGCCACATTACCATGAAATCTGTTTTGGGTGTTCGTAGTTCCCTCAGGATGAATCCTGATAGTTTTAGTGACCTCTTGACCTGACCTCATTTTTCCAAGAGCTCTCCTCTAGCGCCACCCTCAGGCCAGCATTGCACACATGATCTTATACAATTTAACAGGCATATCTCCATATAATTTGCAGAGAATATTCGTGCTCCCATGGAGATAAACCAGTTCAATTTCAATGGTCAATGTCCTTTCCTCCAGCACCACCCTCAGGGCAAGATTTGTAGTTTCAGTCTTTTTTGTTTACACCGGTGATCCCATTATCAGTGTCTCATTTGAGGTCATGGTTAACCTGCCACTTTATTTGTCTCCATGTCACTAGATATGGAAAAGTAGCTGGTTTTGATCGCTTTACTGTCTGCTATAGAGGACTTGGTTTGTTCCTTTGAACTCACAGTGCATCCAGGAGAGGATTTCATGTCCTGTCTTTGTGGTTAGATCAGAGTAGTCATACAGTAAATGTGAGTGTGTGAAAGTGTGTGGATCTGCATGCATGGGAACAGCCTGATCTGTCGCTGGTGAGTCACCAGGTACACGGCACCGGCAATTTGCATGAAGGAGACCACAGCTGTCACCCACTCATTTTCTCCACAGTTGTGTATTTCGGTTACCCCACTGCTGCTGAAAGGAAATTAATGAATAAATGGTGGCAAACTGCTATTGGTGAGACATTAGTGTGGTATGAGTCAGTTGTTTGGCAGGTGGAGGCAGTTAATGAAGCCCTGAGTTTTATATTTGTGTCAATGTGTGTGTGTGTGTGTGTGTGTGTGTGTGTGTGTGTGTGTGTGTGTGTGTGTGTGTGTGTCAGATCATCGCATAGCTTTCTCATCTCTGCCTATAGTGGAGACATTCACACCACATCATTAGTTTCTGGCTCCAGCCACAGGTTCCAGTCCTCTGCTTTGCACTGGCACAGACTTAATTAAACTCTGGACAAATCTGTGACTCAAATTTTTCACTTTCCATTCACCTCTTGTCTGCTTGACAGTGACCTTTGTGTTTGTTATTTGCTGTTTGGTTTTGTTTGTTTGCTTGCTTACACATAGATCAAGTGTCTTATTTATGGGACATTATAAGCATGGCTATGAGAGTAATACTTCCTATACTAACACTGCAGCTTTGGTAGATTTTATTCCATAAAAATATATGAGAAAATATGGAAACACTCAAAAACATCTCTCAAAGTTAATTTTTCAAACTGGAAAACCTTATAATTATCCACACAGTGACTTTGTTCATCTTACTGTGCCGCCCTCTTTGCTGAGTAAACATTATCTAGACATCAGCTTTTTATAACTTCATGTTTTATGACGACGTGTTTATAACTACCCACTATAGTGATATATTGCCAGCAAGCTAAACTTGGATGACAAACTTTTGATGTCGAAACCACATTGTCAGTTTTGTAAAATTTCCGTCTAAATTATTTGGAATCTCTGCCATTAAACTAGTGTCATAGTAAAGTTTTTTTTCTTTCTCTGAATGATAAAAAGCTCATATTCAATCTTGTTCCTTGTCACCAGGACAGAGAGCAGACTTTCTGTTACATTAAAAAAACGGTCTCATTTCTTTATTCATTTCGGTGTAGCAGGAAACGCCCTCTTATCTGAGCTCCTCCTGACAAAAGCAGGGCTGTTTTCTATGTCATTCTGAAGTACGACCTGCAGATAAACAGCACTGTAACCATGAGCCAGACAGGTAAGCTGTCTGTTTGCTTTACTTATTCGGCAATTTATTATTACATACATTTTTAAAGGGATAGTGAAAGTGATTAATTGCTTTAATATACCAGTCTTGATTATTTATGATGGCTTGCAATGCTCAGAGCAATATTTTGTGGATAATATTAGTGCAATATATTTAGAAATGTCAAGGTTTCCTTTAATTTCATGTTTTGCTTGTTTTTGTATTAATGTATTTAAATTATTTTTGTAATTTATTTATAATTTATTGATAAAACACAACTCAACATCTGGCAGTCATTTCTCTTCATCTTCTACATACAGAATGTTACATTTTAATGTGCTGCACTGACAATGACATTATATTCATTTCCATTGTGTGGGTCAGTTGCAGAAAAGTCTATAAACTTTTTATACTAAATAGGTGTTAAACAGCCCAAATATGTTCAAATGAAATAGAGGGAATGCAAGGTTTCTCCATAGAATACTAAAAACTGCAAACACAGATCTTTATTGTGCATGTTTTGCAAATTTTTGAACAAAATATGCCTTTTTCTTGTAGCTGAGGAGCTGCTAATCATCTATGAGACTGAGGCAGAGCAATGGGCAACCTACCTGAAGACAGTCTTCACTGGCCCCATCTCAGAGGCCGGGATCTGCTGCTATGACATCGCTACAGTGTCCAGCCGGCGGGACGACTTCCTCAGGCTGGCCCAGTATAACTGCAAGCTCCTAATCCTTTCCAAAGGCATGCTGGAGGGTCTTTGCCAGATGTGGCGCTTCTTCCTGGCCCGTGTGTTGAGTCCAGCAGCTAATGTGGTGGTGCTGCTGTGTGGGGTGGAGAGTCTGACCCCACTTCTGGAGAGGGTGCCCCTAAACGGCGACGAATGCCTGGTGATCTCCAGTGAACAGGATGCTCACGTGTACCTGTCAACTGTGACTGATATTGTGAAAAAAGGTATGGCAATGGCTCCGAAGTGTTTGTTTGATCATCCACCACCTGTTCGTATAATTTTGTCTTGAGCCCCATGTGAGATTATTTGAGCCTTAGATATGATTTAGTACTGGCTGTACTATAGAAACGAAGGTAAAAGGCAAAATAAATCCCGTCATGCATTATCCCACCTTTAATTAAATTGAAATTTAAATCAGTATGTATTTACTGGGGACCTGCTCGGATGCACACAAAGACCCCTGGAGCTCTCCAACCTTATTTCAGGAACCAGTGAGGCATGAAATTCCACCTTAGTTTCCGTGCTACTTTAATATTTGATATTTCTGGACTTACATTCAATGTTTTTAAATCTGAGAAGTGTTATTCCTAACCAAACACTGCTCAGTATCATTTTAATCTTGTTTATAACATGAATTAAACATATAGACAGAAACAATGTATAACACTATAAAACCCATTGTAAGAAATTATGAATATGGAATTGTGAATTGAGTGTCAAGCAACTTGCATCAATCAATCATTGAGGAGTTGGATGACAGTGACTGACTGATAGGCTCAGCTTTGAATCAGTCTCCGCCTATTTAACACAATTGACAAGTCCTCTAATAGATGAAGAGTAAAACAGACTGATATTTAGACACAGTGTGCATCCCAGGCATGAAAACCCAGAGCACAATCACCCTCTTCAATATGCCCTTCCTTCAGGAAAAATTTCACATGGCATTGCTGTTCCTCTGCCATAAATGTGAGGGGTAAGAATGCTCATTATCTGTGTGAACGCCTGAGCAGCAGCTTGGAAACCTGTTTACTGACTGTTTACGTGAGAATTGTGGGTGCTGAAGATTGACATCCAGTATTTTTTAGCAGCAGCTGCAGAGAGATCTTTGGTAGCACTGTGCATCTCTGACATATTCTCGTCTGCCATGCCAATTATCATCTGCCTCCTTCCCTGTTTTTCCTAATTGCACTATTTGTATAAAATCATAAAGCGGAGGAGGGGGCTTGTATTTAAACAGGTTTGTGCGCAGGAGGAACATCTGATGCAAATAGCTAGTCTTTCCTCTTTGGCTGCCTCTGATTACTGATCGTGAGCCATGCAAATTCAAGTGCACTCTGCATCACTTCATTGCACTGATACAGTGAAGTGGCTCAGGCCTGGATCCCACGAACAGTTATATTTTAACCCAGAAGTGCCTTCACTGTTCAAACATAATGATGATGCTTGTTTGTTAGCACATGCAGCAGACATGTACGTAGGTGTCTGATGAGTTTGAGTGTACAACACAGGAAAAGAAAGTAGGCCTACCAGCTTCTCTGATAACTGGCATGAACACTAAATCAAACCTGAGCTACTGCTCATGTAAATGAAAATTACAAGAGATTATACATTTCTCTTTCTAATTGAATCACTGAAAATGCCAGTAACAACAAAAAAATAAGACACAAATTCTGCACAGTCATGCTAGAGCCTCTGAGGCTACAGCAATGTTTTGAGCTACAGCATTGTTTATCTTTTCCACCATGTTACTTTAGTGTGTTTGCATGCTAACATTTGCTAATTAGCATTAAAAAGTATTGCAAGTGTTTAGTCATGAGGATGACCAAGTGATTACAGTTTAGTTTCATCCTGACAGAGACTTAAATGGTTGTACCAAATTTCACTCAAAAACATAAATGAGAACCTCAAGGTGGCATGAGAGAAAAGGTCAGCAGGATTCATCCTCTGGGGCTCATGAATGCCTGTAGAAATTTTCTATGCCAGACATCTAATAGTTTGTGATGGATCAACATTGCTATCACTGATGCCATTCCGCTAGCATGACTGAAGTTGCACCTAGTTAGCTTATGCTATCTGAAAACCATTTTGTAGACATAACTGGTGCACAATTCGGTATATTCAATGTCTCATCTTTTATAGGCGGATCAACCACAGCAGCAAATGTCAACCCCCTGACATGTAAACTATCAGGATCAGAGCAAAAGGCGGAACAAATGCAGTCAACTGGAGCTCACAGTGTCAGATGCAGCGCTGTAGTCGTTCCTTCCAGAGTTCCCTGCGGGGTGAGACACTCATCTAGTCAGTCAGTAGTAAGCCATTTTGTTTTTCCATAAAGCACCCCTTACATTGGCCACACTGCTGTTCACTGTACTGTCTCTTTGGCAGACCTCTATGGACGTGTTCATTCTTTTGAAAAATGAGGCTCCTGGCAGCGACGCTGAGGTTGAGTTTACTGCTGAAAATCAAATGCTAAGACTGAAGCCTGTCCATTGGAATGACCGAATCCTGTGTGTCAAAGCACCAGGTGAGCATGTATGATTAAAGAAATACTAATCAAGATGATATTGTCTCTAAAAATCTGTTTTGTTTCAGCCTGTTTCTGTATTTTTTCTACTGCAGATTTTCCAGCAGGCAACGTAAGAGTGACCGTATATAGTGATGGAGCGCCGCTGAGCATGGCACAGCTGCAGTACTACAGCAGCATGGAGGAGATCTCCTGCCTTCTGTCGAGGGTAGCAGACCCTGTAGATTTCATGTGTCAGGTACAGCTGTTAAATGGCTGTTTGACTTTCACGTCAATGAACATCCACTTTTTATTTCTGGTACCTTATCTTGAGTTTTATGATTGAAGGGGAATCCCACCATTTTTATACTTAAGGGTCAGTGGTTACTAGTTACGGGGAATTCAACAGTTCAACAAAGTGAAAACAGTTCAATGATGTTTTCTGTGGATCTGTAGGAGTTTGACATGTCTGAGAAAATAAATATATTGATATTGTCATCAGGGTTATTTAGGTTTGGGCTTTGAGACTACAATCGTTTTACACAAAGACAACATTACAAAGTGGGGTTGTAAAGTTTTAAAGATGTGGGCATTTACAAGGGAGGGGGTGTCAAGACAACAACAAGAAGATGCTATTGATTGCATTATGGGAAATGTGGGATCCATTGTTTTAGGAGCTTGACTTCTACTAGGGATCAAAGTCAAAGTGTCTTCCGCTGCACTGATTTGGAGTCCCCCAGGTTTATTAAATTGCAATACTGCATTTCTGGATTTTTAGTTTCTAGTATTAGAGTATTGAGTTAATGGGGCTATTTGTAAGTGACGTGTTCTGTGCCGCCGAATGTGGTTTCTTGCCGGGAGCGGCTGGTGGTGATTGTTGGCCATTGTGTTTACAATACAAGAGGGGATAATACTCCCTCTGAGCAGCGCTACTTCTTCAGGGCAGACTGGAGGCTACATACAGTGAGTCAGTATTGGAAAGTGACGAGACAGGCCTGGCCTAATTAATTAGTATGCTAACTTCAGTAGAAGAAATGAAGGAATGAAAATTTGATGCTGCACTCGCAACATTGCTCCTAGACTGGTAAGGTAGCAACTGTTAATGCTAATGCTGGCTATGTAGCAATAGCAAAATTTACAAATAGTTCCTTTAAGCTCCTGAAACACTGGGTCCTGCTGATGATGTCATCCAGGTTATTTTTCTAAACTTCAGACAGCTCCCTCTAGAGCCACAGAAAACATTAGACAGCTGCTTGCACGGGCTGAGCTGTACTGAACTGAACTTCATGCATAAAATCAGCTGAGTGCCCCTTTAATGAATGCATTTGTCCATGGGAGAAGTTGCATATTTGCAATTGTCAGGACCGTGTTGTAACTTTTCAAAAATAGCGCAGATACATTCTATTATACATGCAGATTAATGTTTCTAAACATTTTTTTTGTTGATGGGAATTAAGCTGTAACAGTGAAAATGAATGTATCATTACACAGTATTCAATTGTTTGAGGGGAACAAGCACAAACTTTAAACTTATAACACTTTTAAATATATTCAAATAATTCTAGTCAATCATTGCTTTAACAATGTAGGAAACCTATTTGAATATTGCTGTTCTACTTGCTTGCTCCTCAGAAAAAGTAACTCTTGTGAGGCACTTTGAATGTGTTATGCTGCGTAGTGACTCATTGTTATGTAACTCAGTTACAGAAATTAGTCAATCGCCGCCCCAGAACACTGCTTATAATTGATCCACTTCAAGCCATTAGAAAGACACAGAAAAACAGAAGATAAATTGAATCAACAATTTCTGCTGATGTTTTTGTGCGCAACTGTGTACTGTCTCCTTTCTGAAATTGAAGAGACGGCAGATTCAGCCTTCTTTCAGTCATGAACACTTGATTTGATTAGGTCTCTTTTGCTGAAGAGGCAAACTTGAGCAATGCCAAAAGAAGAATTTGCCAAGAGAATTTCAAACTAAAAGTCTGGACTGGCGAGGCAGGACTCTGATGTGTGTGTGGTTATATTCAAACTGACATTTTTATTGTGCCTCTATAGACTTCACCACATGATCCACAATACTCCCACTGTTTGTAGGAGCTACTTTTGTTTGTTCATCAAATTCAAATCTCAGTTAGTAATCTGCTTGTGTGTGTGGTGAAAAAGGGGTTTACTCATTTTTCTTTGCAGTCAAATTAGTTCGACATGTGGCCTACCTGCGAACTGTCTGTCTCTCTGGTTTTCAGGCTCTTCAGGTTTCCTCTGTGGACAAGTTGGATGAGAAGTTGTCCTCCATGCTGCTGGAGGGAATGCCCACTGGAGGCTTTCGGGCACTGCAGTGTGAGAACACACCTGACAGAGGTACAGCACTGTAGGATCGCTTACTCTGGACTTTACAATGAAAAACATCTGCTGACTTTTCACAATGAGGGCAAAACCAAACCTAGTGCAACTTTCTTTAAATTCTATTTAGACTTATGCAAAGATACTGCCATAAACTATATGCTGACTTCATATTTTTTTTATCTCTAATTTGTTGTACTGGACAGGAAATCTGTAAAACATTTCATTGTGGTATGAATGGATGCAAGGTATACCCAAAAACAATATTTGTACTTCTATTTGTGTTTTTTTATGTAGCAGTAACATGTCATTGTTACATGTTGGAACAGGTGATAATTAATGGAAATGTTACCTTGTTTTAAATACAACCCATTAGTAACATTTATTCACAACAGAATGTGCATTTAATTCATTCCTTTCCCTCTCACCATGTATTTATGCAACAACGTGGACTGAGCATACTGCTAACAACTGGAATGCATTCCTGTTGCATGATGCACATTATCTGCTACGAAAAAAAATGCCTTCCATTATTTCTTGTCTCATTATGTGGCAGATTGATGGCTTCATCGGCTACTGAGATTGATCCTTAACTCTGCTAAAAAGGGCACAGGGAAATGTTTCCATGACAAACAGGTCAATAAGTGCCTCCAAGCTGTCTTTCTTCGACTCTCCTGGATGTGTTAAATTGCTTACATTGCATCGGGTCACCTTTATGTTATCACCTGGAAAAGGAGTGATATAATTGATATAATCTTTCCTGTCAAGAAATATTATGTGTACAAATACGCAGCTGCTCATTTTCAGGCCTAACGGGACTTTGTTTGTTCTGACAATTTCTGAAAATCCCTTGTCCTGCCTAATCACATGTTCATATCAGAGATCCACCCTGCGGATGTACCATCACTCCTCCACTTTGCTGCCCAGTATGGATTCAAGAGTGTGTCCAGCCTGCTACTGCAGTGTCCAGGTGCTGAGCGAGCACTACACACAGCCAATCGGCATGGTCAGACTCCCACAGAGATTGCCAAGAGTCACGGCCACACAGAGCTTCACACCCTATTGAAGGAAACACTGGTAAATACTTTCTCTTCAGCTATTTGTAAATCCCATCTCCCATTCTTTTTCTTTTCTTTTTCTTTTTGACTCTCGATCATTTTCACCATCCTCCAGTTGGAACTCATCCTCGTATCATGCCAGATGATATTGTTTTAGCATTATTGACCCTCCATACAGTGAAGACATTTCTCAAAAATAGTTTTCAGTTACCTGCTGACATCTGAAGAAAACAACATAATTCACCTTAGGACTTGAGAGGTCTTGAGATTTCACAGCCAGGGGATGCAGTGCAGCACTCAGGAATGCTCTTACTGACACCAACAAAGCATCAGGACTATGAGTGAGTGGTGCTTTATCAATAATGAACAGAATGGAGAGGATAGTAACAAGCATAGAGAGTAACCTGTGTGTCAGGGGCAACTTCATTCCTTCCAAACCAATGTCTTTACATCCAGCTCATGGCTCAGTTAGTGGATGGATGATAACTCTCCCTTCTCTGACCCAGAATATGTTTGGCCTGCGAGGTTCCTAATGGAACACCCCCACAGAGACTAGAAAGGCTGTGTTTGTTCATGCATGCACAATGGCTCACAGTGCAGGTCGTCTGCATACATTCAGACAATTAATGCAGCCACTAATGTTGAAATTTCCTTGCGTAACGGCAGCCATTTTCTCATGTTAATATGGAGAGTCTCTTCCTGCTCAACCTCCAATTTCACTGGGTAGATACAGTAACACAAGAGCAGCATGTTTTCCACTCACTTGCTAATGAGTGGCAATCCAAATTTAATATATCCCATGCATGCATGCACACCCCTTTATCTGATAAACCTGGAGGACACTAGCATCATAATGTTCTTTCCAATGCTAATTTCATTAGACAGTGAGGACATTATCATTAAAAAAAAAACATGATGCACCAAGTGGTATAGCCGAGTTTGAAAATCACTTCATTACTGTTGTGTTCTGGAAAACAGAACACTGATTATACCTGAGATATATATATATACACACACACAGTGTTCTGTCACTGTACCTCATATTTTCAGATATTTTAGCTCTCATATATCTTTATATATTTTATAAGCTAATCATATATTTTGTATAAACAATCTTATTCTGCTGTAAAAAGGTAGTAGAAGTACAAAATATTATATAATGGAAATACTCAAGTACAAGTTCCACAAAATTGTACTTAGATACAGAACTTCAGTAAATTTACTTTGTTATTTTTCAACACTGGACCAAGAAAGGCTGCAGTTGAATTTTTTTAATGTAATTTTTCACAATTGTGAACACAAACAAAACTCCATTCAGCTTCACAGTATTCAAGTAAAAGCAGAAAATTCAGATAAATAAAACCTGGACCATTAAAACCCAAACTGTCAAGTAAGCAATTATTATCATTATTTTGTAATTTGAGTGAACTGATCCTTTAAAGCTCTTATCAGCTGTTGAATTCCTCAGTTTGTAACAGACAACAGCATAATGCTCATTCATTCATATGAAAATGTCTGCTCTCATTGCTTGTTCTTCCCTTATAATACTCACAACTTTGAACTTTCTCTGATGCCTCGGATCAACCTATAGAGAATTCTCTCTCGAGGGAAATTTAGACACTCCAACAGCTGTTGCAAATGTATTTATCCTCCTAGCAACACTGCTAATTGAGAGTGACTGCAGATGGAGCAAGGTTTGATCAGATTGCTCCAGTGAGTCGAAGTGCTCCCTGTGAACCTTCAGAGAGTCGGCTGAGCTGACAGGGAGCAGTGGAGTCAAACAGAGGTCTCCCCATAGGGACTTCAGTGAGCCTATAGATGTAACATAACAGACAGATTTGACATGTGCACACAATTGGCATTTCTTTGCAGTTATCCTGGAGGGTAATTAAAATTCATCCTGACAGCTGAAAACTATATACATACTGCGCTTGTGTGTAACAGGAAATGTGTATACGAGTCATCATTACAGGGTGCGGTTTTGTTCTTGCTCCCCTTTTGCATGACAGTTTCATTAACTCATCTGCAGTGTTTCCCCCACCTCCAATTAATCAACCCATGATGCATCAGTGATTTGGGCGTCAGTAGCAGCACTCTGTCAATAAATCCTAGATGGATCGGTCCCTTGCTTCATACACAGGCTGAATCACTCACAGGGCCTGCGTCAGATCCACCATTCTGCCCTGGCACCACACTTCTTTGTTAATTAGCTGTGAACTGCTCCAGAGGGGAAAGCTGAATTATTCAGGAAGAGCATAACTAGAATACAAATATAGAAAATACTCAGCTGTTATCTACAATGTTTATGTCTTCAGACTGCAATATTGTGCTTGCTCACAGTAATTACTAACACAAACACACATTGTCCTTATTTAATATTTTAGTACTGGGTCACTAATTTGGCTGAGTGTCACTTGGCATTTAGATGGACTCCTCACTCCCACCAAGATGCTCTCAGATGTAGAGCAGAATTCAATAAATACAAATTTGCTTGCAACTGTATGGCCCATCAGAGACTACAAAGAGCTATTTATGTGTTGCATGCTGTGTTTGTGTACAGCACACTCTTATCCAAATACAGGGGAGCCAACTTAGGTGACATACTATCCTCTTGTCCAGAGATTTGTTGATTCCCCTGATCATGTTTTGCATGTTTGTTTGGTTAGTAACTGTGCCATCATTATCGGCAGACTCCGGAGATTTGTTTATCATTTGAATGTTACGGTCATGCTCGCGCTGAAAATGCAACTCTTGGCACTGTGCAGATTGTATGTTGCATGTGAATAGCAGAACTGCTGAAAATGTTTACATTTAACCAAACACTTAGCCCAGTTTTTAGGCACGCTAGCAAAGTTGCTGCAGGGATGTCAGCATACCGACTACAGCGAGGCCCTGACATCTCATCTGGGGCCACCAGCTGAGCAAATGTTTCATTTATTTCCAGTGAAATATCTCAACATCTAGTTGCTGGATTGTCACAAAATATATATACAGGTGTTCATGGTACCTAGATGACGAATCCTACTGACTTTGGGTCAGTGGGATTTGGTGATCCCTTGACTTTTCCTCTCGTACCACCAGGAGGTTGAGATTTGTGGTTCAGTAGTACTAGCAAATGTTAGCATGCTACCATGCTAATCTATCAGTCAACATGTTAAACATTATACCTGCTAAACATCAGCATGTCAGCATTTCCACTGTGAGCACCATCGTGTTTAAGTACACTTAGTAGTGGTAGTACTAGTACTTAGTACACGAAGGTCTCTGTGCTTCACTGAAGTTTAGTTGCTTTGGATTAAAGCGTCTGCTAAATGAGTTAATGTAAATGTACATCCTCACAGATCATGGCTGCAGTCTAATATAATACATGTTCAGTGTTAAAAGATAACACTTTGCTGAGTAAATATAGTTGTAAGTGTGAAACATTTCTTTGCCTGCTGAGCTGACCAAGTCTTATTTTCCCATCCCAAAAAGCAAGTTGGACAGATTTTAACTGCACAACACTTAAGTGATGGGTTCGTGCTACACTCTGCAATCCGCCGTGTACCCTGAAACCACTGGTTGGTGCTAAGAGCTGAGACTAGCCAGCCAGCGAATTGATCATCTCAGCTGCTGAAAACAGATTTACACTCCTTATCCCGTACTAGATTCACTGGAGATTTGTTCTCCCTCTAACAAAATCATGCCTGCTGTTTTGTCTGAAGCCCTGCTGCTTGGATTGCAGCGGTGAGACTGAAATGTTTCTGGAATGCCCGGGGCTCCTGTAGTTTCAGACATCTGTAAAATGATTTAGCATTTGCGGTTAGTAAATAAATACCCTTTCCTCATCCAGAAACTACCTCTGAAAATACCACACTGTGCTTTAGCACAGCATCTGACTATTATAATTCCATGTTCAAGCTGCGGCGGTGATTAACCCGTCCCTTCTACCTGTTGGGCCTGTTATGAACCTCTTCTGTTAAGTAATGCATTCATGGCAGCCAGTAAGTAATTTACAGTACTAGGAACAGTGTAATATTGTAATTGAGTCATGAGTGGCTGTGTTGCTTGGAAACTGCACAGTGCGTGGCAGGTTGTATGGGGGATATTTTGATCGAAGTGAGCTCTCTCTCATATGTTCTGCAAAGGTTTATAATGTTGATTGGGATTTTTCATACTGAATTCATAATATATCCTCTTAAATTCATACTGGAATCTAATGTAATCCCAAAGCATTATCATCTGGATTGTGAAAGTATCTTCCGTTGCTAGAATCTGTTTGGATGAAAAAACTACAATACAGCTCAGCAGTTGTATGTGTTCATACATTGTAAAAAAAATACACTTTATTTGTTATAAACTCATACATGTACTCATATAAACTCATAATGTTTAATACATTATTTTTATTTTACTTTTTTGCTTTTTCCTTTTGTGTTTTTCTGTCAAAATAAATACTTTTACAGAGTAGCTTTTAACTGTATGTCATTTCACAATTAATGACAACTCTTTACTTCTTCAAATCTTCATTTGTAGTAGAAATGTGGCAGCAAATTAATATCTGTATTTCATTCCAATTATAGATGCAGTCTAAATATCAAGCCAAGGGTCTTGAATTGCTCACTAAATGATATGTTTGGACTGAAAGGGGAAGATTGTCTGATTTCATAATTACCCTGATCATACCCCTGTCTGTCCCTCAGCATGCTATTAGCAAATAGGCCGACTCGGCAGCAGCTTTGCTGTCAGAGGGAAAACTGCTTTTTTTTTTTAGCCAGCAGTCAGGGTTACAGCTCACCTCTCTAATTCCTGTTATAGCCCTGAAATTGCTTTTCCACAAGTGAAGTCCTAACACATGTGGTGAGAAACCTCATTTAATAATCTGGAGGTTTGTCACATCTGACATGAGAACACTGAATATTAAAAGGTATCAGCCTATAGTGTGAAAGAGCTTAGAGTGGATAGTAGACAGTCACCTCTGCTTTTATGTTTCATTTTTAAACCTTAGAAAAGAGGATACAGGTGAGAAAATGAGCCGACTGGACGGACACAGTGAGCCCACAGAGAGATCCACATTCTTACCTAAATTACAAACCTGCATTATATCAAGATTTGTCGAATGCATAAATATGGATAGAAAAAATATTCTGTTATGTTATTATGTTATACTGCAAATGCTCAGCTTCAGCAAAACAGATTAGACATTGCTTTCCTCGAATTCTAAATTGCCTCTATTGAGCTGTTTGTGATTTGGATGAGGCGTAAAACACATCTCCTCATGCTCTGTTGTTGCAGAATATGCTCAACCCTGATGAGGACAATGGTGATACCAGTGTGTACGAAGTGATGTGCACTGCAGGTGAGTGTGGGGCTGATGGGAAGTGGGAGGAGGACAAAGGAAAGCCGGATGTATAATGGAATTGTTTTTTTGTTTTTTTTTCCAGTTTATCATTATGCCGGATTGCTTGTTCATTTCCTACCACTGAATATTTTCCCTGTGCTGATGGGCACACCCTGCAGTGTTGCTTCCGATTAGCTGTGAAATAACAGTAGCAAAAACAGCATGCAGAACTTCATCATGACATTCAAGCAGTAAACACTTTGTGCATTAGGGAATCCTTCCACCACAGATGTACAGCAAGAGCAACAAGGAGGGGATGAAGGGGAGGAGGTGGAGGATCTCTATGCTCCACTGGGGGTGAATGATGAATATGACACCATCCTGAACTCAACAAAAGCAGTGTTTATTGCCAATCGCCCACCAGCACCCACACCTCGGCCTGAGAGCACCCAGGTGAAGGAAGACAAAACCCCTTACATTGCTCAAGGTAACTTATGATTCTTTTGTTCCCCCCTTTTCTTCCAAATTACAGATATAATAGAGCTGATTTGGAGTAAAAACAACACTGAGCTATGCACAGTATGTGAAGGGGAGTTTGGGACATGATGTGGGAGGGAGGAAGTGCCTGGAATGTGCATTGCCGTTGTCAGTGGAGTACTGCTGAATAGAGTGAAGAGGCTTCTTTTTTTTTCTTTTTTTTGTGATGCAGTTTGTTTTGATTCCATAAACCACAAGAACATAGTCGCTCCCCACTGCAAAACAAACAAAAGCGAGGACAGAGAAAGAGCCATTTGCCTGCATCAAGAGCCGACAGTCCCTAACTGTTCAATTTCAGCACTGTGAATATTTCATGAAGATGAAACATCCAAAAGTGACTGGTATTATTAAGCCTTATGAATCATTAAAACGGCTCTGACTTCTCCTTTTCATCTCACAAATGCAAACATGAACACATGCATCCACAATTAATTGTTATTCCCACAGACAATATTACTCCAGTCCCTCACTAACTATCACTTGTGCATTCAAAACACACACACACAAAAAAAAAGATTATAATTGCACAAGAGCCCCATTATGCAGCTTTTTATTGAGCTTGTTTGTATCCAGTGAGCCAGCTCTCTTCCCGATGGGACTTACAAAGCAAAAAAGGAATTGAGTGCACCACTGAACTCTCTGCATCTCAACCATCCCCTCAGTAACACAGAGGGAACTACTGGGCTGCCATCTGCAACCAATCTTGGCCAGACCATGGCCAAGTCAGCCAAAATAAGTCATTACACATGTTTTCCATCGTCCTTGTCCCCAGAGTGCACGAGAGAAAGGAGAGGGATTTTGAGGTTTCCATCTATTGAGACAGTGGAGCTTCAAACCACACAAGGATCACATTTTGCTCCTCATTCCCACTGCCGCAGTGAAAGATGTGAGAGGAGAGATGAGGCTTGGTGGAGGATTAGGCGAGGAGCCAGTTATTGGAGAACACTGCACAAGTGGAAATAATGAGGAGTTTTCTTTTGTTAGCGGCAACGTCCTCAGCTCAATGAGACTGAAATACTGGAATGTGAATGAAATTCAGTCTTACAGGGAGGAATTACTGGGCATGTAAACTACATGGAGTGCAATGCACACACTCTAAGGCAAGGTAAAGTAATAGCTACAGTCATGTGACAGATCCACAGCAGTGCTCCACTCACAATTTCATTCTGAATTCAGCCATAAAGGCAGACTTGTGTTGTGAGCCAGGTAGAGAAAAGAAGCTGTGTTTGAACATGAAGTGGAAAAGAGAGATGCTGTCATGGAGGAAGTAGTCAAAGGCAGGATTATCTTGCAGGGTGTGGATGTTGAATTTTAATCCAGCGTTGGTCACACAGCCGCAGCTCCACTGCCTCTGACAGCTAAAGAGTGTAGCCTTTCATTCTGAATGCTCACTACCAAACCAAAAGCATCATTCAGGGCGTCTAATTCGATCCAGAGCTGAATCTGTGTGAGTGTTTCTCTGAGAGGAACCGAGATCTTAGCTCTGGGGAATATTACACTAAAAACCTGCTATTTCAGATATTCAGATTCCATTATATTTATATATTCTGTGTGAGTAGTGGTAGGTTTTTATCTACTGGCTATTCACACTTAGCTTTGTACACTCCACTGAGGTTAATGCTTTTAGATTTAGAGTATGGCTCCATCTTGTGGAGAACTACTTGAAGTACAGGAGCACAGACCATTTTTAGAAATCTGTAGCATCAGCTCAGCCTTGTAATGTTTTCAGTGAAGATAAAGTCAAGAAATTTGTGAAAAAGTTGTACATTTATTTTAAATAAATGAATATTCTATGTTATATCATTATATATAATAGTTGCTGTACGCTATGCTGTGTTTACAGTGTTCCAGAAGAAGAAGACACCACAGGGTGAGGCTGATCTCTATTCACTGCCCACTAAACAAGGTGAGACTGAGGTAGTATCCTGACATTTAGTCCCCCAAAATTGATGAAGCTTCAAAATCAGTCATAACCCTGACCTGTAAACACACAAGTCTTTCCAACTCCACATCTCCAGGTTTTCTGTTTTACACCTGCAGTGTATGAGAGTCAAATCAAACCTGGAATTTTTGCTTCAAGCAGATCCAAGTGGAAATATTGTCCATTTAAATAAATTAGTAGTTTGGAATTAATGTGCAGGTGTACACTTTTCATCAACAGCTTTTTACCTGAATGTTATGTGCATATGATTATACTTTTTTTTTTTTTTTGCAGTACTCATAAAATCCACAGAGATTACCCTATTGATATCATACTAAGCCTTTTAAAGATATTTTTGCCATTTAGAGATATTTTTGGCATTTATACATACAAAACACCTTCATTAGATAGGGTACACAAGGTAAGCAGGTGGGAGATAGAGTGTAGTGTGACCTGTAACAAAGGCCCCAGTTGCAAACGAACTTGGGACATTGCTGTAATATTGTATTAACCTTAATCACTTGCTCACCATGCTCTTAGTTTCCATCTGAATATTAATGCCCAGGCGTTTTAATCATCACTCTCAGCTCTAGTTGAATCTGGTTTTATCATCCACTCACAAAAACACAGCTGCAGTCATCGGTTTTGGAGCATGTGTCAAAATGAACAAACTGTGAGATACACTTTGCCCCCCACCACTGTACACTATAGTCTGCTTGAATTTCCCCTTTCTGAACAGGAAGAGTATTATCACTTTGAGATCTGCTGATTGGAATTTTACTGAGCCGATGATTTTTGCTGACTGATTCCTTGTTGAAATTACCTGCTGGATGGTATTAATTAATGCTGATAATGTAATTGTAATGTTTTGTTAAATCAATTAAGATTGTAGTGATCACCACAGGGGAATGAGTCATTAAAGCAGCAAAGTAATGGGCACACAAATAGTAAAAAAAAAAAAAACTATGAAAAAGAGCAGGTAGACACATGTGGGAACTAATATTAAAATAAGAAAATACAAAAATAAAGAAAACTATGTGAAAGAGAGGAAGAGCTGCTACGCTGAGCACCTACACAGATACAAAGCCATTTGTCTGCTTTGCTGTACTGTTGGTGACACTGAGTGACAGGTCCATAGATCATCAGAGTCACCCAGTAAATGACTTACCATCCGCACTAGCATTACAGATGTGACAGGAAAAAACACATTACCAGCCAATCTCCTCTGTGAACGCCATCTGGAATGGCTTTATACTCTGTCTTTTCTAATTTCTGTCTCATCGTGTAATGTGTGATACTATATATGAATTCCAGCTTGTTAACTTGTTTGCTGATTTTTTTTGTTGCTGCCTGGATCTAAAAATGTCAAATTTTCTGGTTGCTCAAAGCGGCAGATGTTTTTATAGAGTTGTTGCTCTTTGCAGCACGCGGGCGAGAAGACAGCATCTCTTCCACCTATGACACCTTCGTGCCAAACCAGATAGACGGGCTTCAGCAGCTCATTGAGCTCCAGCAGAGGGTGAAGGCAGGTTCGCTCACTGTGGATGAAGCCCTGGAGCGTTTCAGTGACTGGCAGAGGGTTCAGAAGGGCATGGATGCCATCCAGCAAGTAGGACTATCACACACTGTGATCACACTCTCACACACACACACACACACACACTAGACTTGGAATGGATAAGCATGCAGGACCAAACCCTCATAAAACTATTACCATCTGTTGCTCATGCAATGCCAACCTCCAAAACAATCCCACAACAGAGAACAATCTCACAATAGAGCATGCAGATATAGGAAGCCATTTACTTCAGAGTAAAGAAAATGACTTTTCATTATATTTTTGTCTGACTCAACAGAGAGCAGAGACAGTGATGAAGAGTCAATGTTTGTCTTGCCTTGCCTGCAAATAAGGCCGGTGGCACACATTACATTCACAGTAAGGGAAAACGTGGTTGCAGTTGTGGCACTACAAGCTTCTGTTTAGCAGCCAGAGAGAAAAGAAAAAAACTAAATATTAATATTGGGATTAACAGAGGTCTTTTTGGCAGCTATGACTAAAAGGTGATTTACTTGTCCAACTTACCTGTCCCCTGTTACTCAGGGTAACAGGGGACAGGTGTGCAGGCTGTTGATTATCAGGTGACTCTGGAGAACTGAGGACACCTGCTGGAGAGGGCAGGAACGACAGGAGATATTAGAATTAGACAGGTATGGCAAATGCCTGAAAAAGTGACAGTAGCTATGGTTTCTTACATGACTGTTAGTTTGCACTGCATCCTGGGCCAATCCAACAGTCATACAAGGCCTTTTTTCACAGACAACATTTTAACATTTCACAGTATGAAAAGCAAAAATGAATGATGCCTGAATTCCATTAGGCTGCTTCACTTTCCAGGTTTCTGGTGTTGTGCATGCTGACTCACTGTTAATAGTTATTGGGGCACTTGAATTGAACTAAGAATGTAACACCTTTGATTTTCCTACAGAGATGATCAAATTGTGAAACAGTGGTATATCTTATTTTGTTCTAAATAAAAAAAAGTACAAATACAACAACGTAAAAATACATCATCATTACACAGAGTCTTGTATTCAGGCTTCTTGTATTAAGTAAAAAGTATTTAAGCATTATCACCAAAATGTACTTAAAATATAAAAGGTAAAAGTATTCCAACCTGTGATTGATATACTACTGTATATGATATTATTAGATTTTCAATACTGATGCATCAGTGTGTTAGCAGTCAGGCCCCTCCAAAAGGTCCCAAGATAAATTCTGCTACACAAATTGGTATTGCTCTTGTGGACCTTTTCTCTTATCATTGCATTTTTTTTTTGTGCATTTTTGATCCTTTTACCTCTTTGGATCACGATTTATTTTGAAGAGTGAACACATGAAGAGTGACAAGAGGCTTACTTTTTAGACAGTTACTTTTTTATAACACGTCACAAGCCAAAAACTACTGGTTTAATCTGCAGCAATGTGATACATAACATAAACTTGCTTTTATAAAGTAAAACCTGAATCTGAAAATTACTCAGAAACTATTGCTGCCAGACAAAAGAAGCGTAGAAAGAAGAGATAAGAGTAAAAACTACAATATTTTCTTCTAAAATGTAGTGGAGTATTAGTATAAAGTTGCATATAATGGAACTCAAAATTGCATTAAGTAAATGTACTTAGTCACTTTTCATCTCTGGATGAGATCCCATATTTATTAGTATAATGACTAAAACTTACCTTCCCTCTTTTATTCTGCTCTGGTTGTTTAAAGTATGCATTTATTTGAACATTATTTGCAGACAGTCAGTTTTCTACTAGACCTCCATGAAGACATCAAAAGATTTACAACCCAACTGCACAGCCGATCTAATTGTTCTCTCAGCATGTGCAAATATAAAACAGATCATTTATGGAAATCTCATGTGTAAGCAATCGGATGCTCGTATGTTGGTCTAATATTAAAACACTGATGTTTGGCTCTGCAGGAGAAGTTGAATCAGCTGAGAGCAAGTATCATCAACAACAGAGAGGACGATGACAGTGTCTATGGTAAATACTCCTCCATCCTGGATATGTGGGCTAAGCTTTGCTGTCATCACAGAGAGGCTCCACAGAGCTCAGATTTCCTGGAACTTTAACATAAAAATAAATACTATGCAGCGCAGCAGAAGTTAAACAGAAACAAGCAGCCACCTTACAAATGACTGTATTAAACTGTGTACTGTAAATGGCTTAGAAAGTCTTCTCTCTCCCCAGATAAAATCAACATCGTTCATCACACGCCAAGTGAGTCTTTAAAAACTCATCTCAGTGTGCACAGAGAAAACCTGTGCTTGCATGCCTTTGTAGTCTCTGCAGTCCCAGTTGCACTGGTGGGAAATTAATCCTCAGGGAAGTGTTATTTAATCAAATCCCCAGTGCCATGTTTTGATGAGTGAGTTTCACTTGCACTAAATGGGAGTCTTTTATTTTCCTTTACTTTACATTTCTCTGTTCGGCTGTGCATATTAGATAATTTCCCCCCAGGTGTTGCCGTGAATGAGAGTCGGAGAGGAAGCCAACCAGTGGAGTCTGATTTTTACAGCAAGCCACTCAAAGGACAGCACGTAAGTTTACTTCACTTGCCAAAGGAAAGCTTGGAAGAAGTTAGCGTGAATGACTTAGTGTAAAGTTTGGTTGGAATAGACATACACACACTGAAGTTACAGACAAATGACAAATATCCCTCTGAATTATTTTGCAGTCAAATTTCTTTTGGAGAGCTGATAAACGGTGAAGGTAAGACTGAAGGCAATTGATGAATTTGAAGTTCTGTTAACAGAATATGAAGTCAGCTTTCTGTTTATAAATTCTACTGAAATAAACGTATTATTTTTGGGCTCATTAAAGCTCTTTAATTGTGTGACATCTTCTATATTTACAGGCTCCATCACTCCCCCAAAGATTCAGTTCTTCCAGTGATTATACGGGTTTAATCTGTTGATAAATGTAGGCTTTTCAATTGTTTTGTATTTTAAAGTAAAAAGAGAGATTTTTGATATACTGCCTCCTGCTTTTTCAGCTCTAACCTTCTCATTTAAATGATTATGGAAGTAAATTCTGGTTTAAGGAAAGAATCTGATAAAGTACAAAATGTGTAACCTCACCTGTGTCAGTATCATTGTCATTAAAGTTTTCCATATCAACAAATACTTGAGAAATAAACTAACAAAATTATTTCTTACTTCTTATTTTTTACTATGCACTGAACTTAACTTGTAAATCATATTGTTGATGAAACTTTCACTTGGTAAAAGTAAATCACCATCTGAAAACGATGAGTGGAATAAACACTGTGTTTTTTTTAATGACAAGGTGTTTGACTTTCATGAGGCTGTGTTCCAGGGAAAGTCTTGGCCTGAAAAACCTCTTCCCATCCTTGCCTCTAGAGGGCGATGCACCTCTAAATATATCCATCACACTTCACTGTGAGTCAACCAAAGACATCTGGGGAGCACAGAAGCACCTGCTGACCTCCTAATGGCTGGGAGGAAAGCTATGGAAAACATGTATCCATACATGTTCATGAATGTGAATGGCGAGTAAAAAAACTCATGCGGCAGGTGAGAGCATCAATGGAGAGGCTCTCACTGTGCCGAGTTACAAACAGGAAACGTGTCTAATCTTGGTTTGCATCAGCCAAGACATGTCAAAATGAATCTTTAAAGAAGGCACAATGGAAACTGTTAAAATATTACAACTCAGCTCAGCAGGATGAATAGAAAATGTCCACAGCGGGGTGCTGTAATAGCAAGTGAGAGTAAAATTAAAGGTCAAAGGCTTTATTTTCCTGGGAAACTTTTTCTGTTCAGCTGCCAGAGTGCAGGCATCTCTTTGTGAAAGAAAAGCTTTACAATAATTCATTGACCAAAGCTTAAAGAGGCCTCTTTAAACTACATCCGTTGAATTTCTGAATAATAAACATTTACTGTATAGGCTTGTTAAAAATCAGAATTTGCTGCGATTTATAGAACCATTCAGGGACTGGCACAAATGCACACACTCCTTTCTCACACACACACAGATACCAGTTTGTTGGTAGAGCCCAGCCTGTGCCTGAATGAATGAATAAGAGCTGCATGGGGAATTCAGTGAATGCATGGCTAAATCCAAGCTCAGTCTTGAAACCCAGGCAGAGGCTGAGCTGTGTGCCAACAAAGCAGCTGGGTACACGCCGGGCACATTTTTCTGTTCAATCATGCTCTTTGTGAATAATATGTATTAATGCCGTCCCTACTTAGACCTGCCAGTTAGCCTTTGGAGATGATCCGGCTTCAGGACCCCATGGCATTTGAGGCATATGGTTGCCTGTCACCTGCTGAGTATATTTCAGTCCGCGCGTCAGGCATGGCCACCGAGATAGGCCTTGATTCATCATGTATGCAAATATCTGAGTGCCGCCACAAGAAATGATTTCCCTGTCACATGGAGACGGATAGAGAACTTCAGTCACATGTGTCGCCCACAACAAACATGCTTCTATATGTGGGCAGCACTACATCAAAGACAAGGGATCAAAGATTCACTGTTTTTCCAAACCCCATGCTGTGTATTCACTGTGACAAAAAAGACAAGAAACAATGATATAGCTCAGATGTAAATGATCCAAACTCTAGTTATGATGTAACTTGGTTGACCAAACTGACACTTCATGTTCTGTGATAGGTTTTGCATGTCTATATCCAACAGTGAAAAGTAACAAAGTGTATTTATTCAGTTACTATATTTGGGCACAATTTTGAAATTGCAACATTAAACCTGAGTATTTTTATTTTGTGAGACTTAATACTTTTATACTTACATTGAGTTTTACAACCAAGAATTTTACAACAAATGACTATGTGTAATGTGAAAAGTTTATTGTACTTTATACTTACGCATCCATACTGATATGGAAAAGTCAATTTGCTATTAACTTTGATCGACTTTTGATTTGAATTTTGCTTATATCACACAAACTTCTTTAAAGGAGCTGTTTGTAAGTTTTGCTATTGCTACATAGCCAACATTAGCATTAATGGCTGTTAACCTGTCTAGAAGAAACATTGCAAGTTCAGCATCTAACTTCATTCCTTTACTCACCAAGAACTTTCTCCAGCAGTGGAAAGCAACACCAATGTTAACTCTTGTCTCTGTCACATCTTTCCTTCTACTGAAGTTAGCATGCTAACCAGCTAGCCTCAGCCCATCTCATCACTTTCCGATAGCGACTCAGTGTCGTCTCCAGTCTACCCTGAAGACATAGCACTACTCAAAGGGATTATTATAACTTCTTGTCTTGTAAATGCAACAATGGCTGAAGTTCTTGTCAATGTACAATGAGAAAACACGCTTGGCAGCAGAGAAAACATACAAATACCTCCTTTAAAGCAGTATCAATTGATTTTTTTGGCCACTAGAAGACAGTGATATAAGCTGTAAACAAAATATTGGCATGTCATATCACCTTGTATTAGCTGAAAGTAGATATAATGAGCATGTGGGCAAACAGTTGCCAAATTACACATTCAGAAATCATGAAGAAACCTTGTCATTCATTTGAAGTTGTTTTCTGTCCACCTGATGAATGTAAGTCCAATATTCACTCTCCCTTTAGCTATGATCGGTCTGCCACCCACTTGGTGCTGGGCAGGTAGCATGCAGTGTAATTATCAGAGCTTTTTTTGCTTCAAACAGCTGTATTTGTAAACGAAGTCAACGGGAGAGGTGAGACGAAGCTCAAAGTTGGGGTCAGAAAAAGAAAAAACAAATGAACTTAAAGAAAAGTTTCATAGAGCTAAGGGGAAAAGTTGGGTGATCATTTTTAGTGGGTTTGTCACTACATGGGGCCACCTTCCCATTATACATATAGTTATTTAACAGACTTTAATATAAAAGATGATGGGTGCAGCTTTAAGTTTGCCTTCAGCAGTGACAAGAAGACAAAGTTTTATGTATTCATTATTATGGAGCATAAATTGAAAATTCTATAAAAATCCTGACAAACTTCCCAATTGGATTTCCTCTTCCTCTCTATTCCAACATCAGGCTTGGTCAGATGGCGGAGAGACAGGATTATACAGTCAATGCATCAATAATATTGTTATGACACAGCTCTTAACTGCTGATGGCCTCTACCAATTGAAACATGAAAAGCCAAGCCGTGGCCTCAGTCATCTGCTGAATCCTCCCTGAATCCCAGCGACACCGCTGGTTCCACACTGCTGCAGAAACACTCATGAGAGTACAAACACTGGGATAACTTATCAGGGATAACTACTCTACTGAAGGGGCATGCATAAACACAACCATTCAGAACTTCTCCATTATACACCTTGGTATGTATGCAACACACACAGGGAGGCAAAAGTACACGTACACACCTCCCCTCCTTGCTCGGTCCTCTCTCTGGCCCCAGGATTAGGGCAGAGGATTGTGCACAGCTGCTCTCCAACATCCCTGATAAAAATCAGGCAATTTCACAGTCAGTGGCATTCTTTCATCCCCTAATCCACACCCCACATACAGTATAGATGAACCTCACCGCGATGAGAACAAGCTGTTCTGAGCTGAACCCGGTCAATGTGGACACCTTCGATAGGCTATAGAGACATTGACCGTCCAAACTGTAGGGTGCAGGAGAAAGAAAGAAGTGTCTGGTCCAATGCTGCATATTGACATTCACTTCCTCATTAGCCACCAATTAGATGTGTCCGACCTACAGACATCAGCCTTGCAACCATGTCTTAAAGTTATTAAAATATTAAATAAGAAAATTGTGTGTTTCAGTTGACAATGGTGTCTGAGATTTCAAAACACTATCACCAATTGTTGCAGCTTCAAATGATTTTAAACCACTTTAAGTGGTTGATAATAGCTGATAAGAGCTAATTTCCTAGTGCACTTATATAAACAGCCCACCCCTAGTAACAGTCTTGACAGGAGTAGCCATCATTTACATAGATGTTATTTAATGCATTTCCTTATTCATTGCATGCCATTATTCTTTATAGTTTTTTCCCTTCTCAAGTCAGACCCTTTACCCATTTTGTCTGACCCCAACCCCCATTTGCAGAGCGATTCTTCACTGAAGTTCAAACAGGGGACAAAAAGGTACTTCACAGCAAAAAGAAAACGAAAAAAAAAGTATGAATCAAAAGGCAAGGAAATGGAATTCACTGTACAAACGTCGAGGGAATTTCAATGTCCGCTGAGGCACAGTAGAGCTCTGTTCAGTCCTCACAGGCTGTGGGGTGAAAAGAGCAGCAGCCACAGCAGGGTACATCTATTCTGACAAGTCCTCACACACACTGAAAAGCCCGAGCAAGGTTTGTTTGTTTAAGAGGCAATAGAGCCAGCTGAAGGATGCTGAAGCTTCAACACGATAACAGGATAATTTTATGGTTTTGCTTTTGGATGATTTGACGGAAAATAAATAAAATGGAATGTTTCCTGTTGCCTTTTTAAGCATTAACACTTCAGGAAACTTCATTATAGTTTTTGATTTTAAAAAACACAGAGTTGTGTCAAAACAAACACATATTAAAAACACAGACTTTTTTAGAGACTCAAATTCCACTGGAAATAAAGGTGATTGGACCAGACTTTAGATGTGAATGAGTATTCTGGCGAGATAGGAGCAAGCCTGTGTTCACATCCTGGGAGTAAAATGTTATAGCATGAGAAAACCACTGCTTTCTGTTGATGAATGACTTGAGAGCACAGAGTTGCCATCTTCTCCCTTCTTTTAATTCTGATTTATTCAGAGAGTTTGGAAGCTTCTCTCAAAGAGGGCAGCACCTTGCCAATATTTCCAACACAAACTCCTTTTTGCACACATTACTTTGAAATGGTTGATGGATATAGATAATATTAACAATGTGATTCTTTTTCTTTATCTCTGGGGTGAAATTCTGGTTTCCCTTAAGCTCCTCTGCAGAGGTCAAAGGTCACTGTTGGATTCAAAACTGCACCCGTGGGACTAGTAGAGAACTGGTCTTACTCGAAGACACCTCGTGAAAATGCTTTCTATTACCAGGGCTTAGAAATAATCAGATTACATTAGTATTATGTTACTGACGATAAA